TGCAAACATGGAAGCTGCCATGCCTTCTAAGCACTGGCCCAGAACTGGCCCAGTATCGCCCCGCTGCATCCTCTGAGCTAAGCCAGTTGTAGGGTAGGGCAGGGTCCTTGCTGGAGGCAAGTGCCGAGGGCTTGGGCACCTGTTGCTGGGTTCCCTGGGCGCCATCTTGGGAGGACAGCCTCCAAGCTGACCCCTTCCACACCCCGCCCCCCCGCCCCCCCCAATCATCACAAGCCCTGCATCCTCATATTTGCATCTCGGCTCAGAGAGGCCTTCCCTGACCACCCGCCTCCAGAGAGTCCTCACCAAGTCAGTACAGCTCCCGTCATGACTACCCCACTTTTTGACTGTTTATTTGCTAAGTATCTGTCTTCCCCGATTAGAATAGGAGCCCCACGAGAAGAGCGATCTTGTCTGTCTTACTCAGGTCTGCTGTGTTCTTGGAACATCCCTGCTGCTCAGGAAATGTTTGATGAGTGAACATTTGAAGGAACAATGCCTTCCCTAGGAGGCTCTGATGATACGATGTTAATGAAAACTTTCACTTTGCAAGCTAGTCCCTAGTTCCCTGGACAAGGGCCCCTAGGAAGCAGGGGACACCCTCACAGAGAGATCCCAGCACCTGGCCAGGAGGCAGAGAAGGTGGCAGCCGGGAGGCTGCTGGCCTCTCCCTGATACCCATGGCCTCTATGGTGCCAGGGGTGGCATGCCTGCGCAGGCTCCTGGCCGAAGCCTCACCGGGGCCCGCCTTCCCCACACAGTTCATCATCTCTGGGTCCCTCTCAGTGGCAGCCGAGAAGAATCACACCAGCTGCTTGGTAAGTCTGAACCGGGGACCCAGGGCAAGGGTGCGGCCAGGACCAGGCTCCACTCCACTCTGCCGCCAAAGACACTCACTCATCTGGCTCCTTCAACAAGCACTTTCTGGGGGTCTGCTGGGGGCCAGGAGGGGACAACCCCCAGACAGCCAGACTCAGACCCTGCCCTACCTACTGGAGAGGGGAAGCCAAGATGCACTTTCAAAACACACTAGAGGGCAGAAAGTGAGGGTCCACAGTGCTCATGGTCATCGGGAGAAAGGGGTGAGGCAAGAAGCCCTCCTGGAAGAGGAGATGACTGAGCGGGGCCTTGGTGGGTGGGTGGGATTGAGAAATACCGAAGGAGAAGCACCAGGATAATGTGAGTGGTTCTGCTGAGCTTGGACGGTCTGCGGTCCCTGAGCAGCGGTGGCTGAGCTCACTGTTCAGAGGGCGGCAGCCATGGGAGGGCCTAGGGACCAGGATCCCAGGCAGGGAGATGAGACAAGGAAGAGCATGGGCATCGGAAGATGGAGACGGAGCCAGGACGCTGGACCACACAGCAAACACAGGGCAGAGTGGAAGGAGCTGAGCTGAGAAGGAGAGACAAGGAGATGGCGCGGGCTGATGCAGAGCCTGGAGTTTATTTTAAGGACAGTGGGAGGCCACTGAGGTTTGGTGCAGGGGAACCATTGCTCTGTTTACATTCCCGAGAGCTGAAGGGTGCTGGGTGGAGAATGGAGTAGAGCAGGACAGGACTGGACACAGGGGACCCTCAGGATCAAACCCATGTCCCCCTATACTGTAAAGGCCAGGGGGCAGAGAGCTCACTTACTCTCCCCCGTGCTCACAGCACCTTGGACAGTTCCTCATAGGCCCCCAGATGCTCAATAGACATTTGCTGGATTAATCAATTAATTGATTTCCTGTGAGGCTGCTCTGGTCTCAATGACCTCCTCATTGTCATCAAATTAAAAATAAATAAATAAATAAATAAATAAATAAATAAAGAGGAGCCAGAGTCTCTGAACCTAAATGGGTCCTTTAGTCCCCAGCCCACCCATGAGTGGTCTCTGCTTTAAGACCAGGGCTATTTAACCAGAAGGCTTCAGCTAGTTGGTCAAAAGAGGATCCGGTTCTGGCCACAAGGAGGGGGTAACCCCTGAGTGGTTGCCTGGACCACCCAGGGGTCCACTGCAGTACCTTGCTCTAGCGGCCCCTGCCTGGGACCATGTGGAACTGACCCCAACACTTCCCTCAACCTCAGTGGCCACAGCAGAGGGCCTTTCCCCACCCCGCCCCTGGGGCAGCTGCCGCTGAAAGGTGCTTGGCCTGGGGGGCGGGGGGGGGCAAGGGGTGAGGTGGGGCAAGGAGCCTCTGCAAACCCCACCGAGAGAGGTCGGGCCCCTTTCTCAGAGGCTTCCAAGATGACAGTGGTAAGGGGGCAGGGCACAAGGCCATTCCCCTGAGGTCCCGGGAAGGGTAGAAGAGGTGGGTCGGTGAGAACACCTGCACGGGTGGGCGTGAGGACACTGCCCTGCCCCCTGGCGGCGGAAGGCCTGGGTGTGGAACGCAGACCCAGTGGAGAGCTGCTGCCTCCAGCCCTGTCTCCTGCTCCCGCCTCTCCTCTCGGCCCCTTTCCCTCCCATCTCTCTCCCCACTGCAGGTGAGGAGCAGCCTGGGGACCAACATTCTCAGCGCCATGGCGGCCTTTGCCGGGACAGCCATTCTGCTGATGGATTTTGGTGTCACTAACTGGGTGTGTTGTCTGACGCCCCCAGGACTGGGAAAACTTGGGGAATGATACAGCCACATCCAAGGACGGGGGGAAGCTGCTGGGGGAGCGTTCGCAGCACCTGGAGGCTAGGGGCCTGGGCCTGGGCAGGGACTGCCAGTCCCAAGGGATCTCACGAGTATACTGACCCCATGACCCTGTTCCAGGGGTGGGCGTGGCGGGAACGGAGAGGCAGCGTAGAGTGCAGGGGAGGGCACTGGACGGACAGCAAGGGGACTGGCTCCCCCTCCAGCCCAGCCAACGACTGGCTGTGTGACCTTGGGCACATTATTCTCGCTCGCTCTAGGGCCCCCTTTCCTCCTCTATTCTAGAATTCTCGGCTTTCCTTAACGGTGGGTTTTGGTCCCCAGGACGTGGGAAGGGGCTATCTGGCCGTGCTTACCATTTTCACCATCCTGGAGTTCTTCATCGCGGTCATTGCCACCCACTTTGGGTGCCAAGCCACCCGCGCCCAAGCCCAGGCGGTGAGTGCCTCACCCCCGCCCACCCCCATCCTGGGCCCCTGCGCCGCAACGAGCTCCCCCGAGTCGTGTATCGCGGGACCCAAAGGAGTTTTTGCGGAAAGATGGGACTGTTTCCTTGTGGCCACAGGGGGGAGCTAGCACCAAGGGACCAGCTGCTCTGTGCGCCTGGACGCGGGAGCAGGGGAGGTGGGGAAGCGCCGTCCACAGATGAGTAGGACCCTCTGGACGTTCACTGGCCATGAGGGAGACGGGGGCGTCAGAAAGCATGGCTCAGGTGGGCAGTGAGCTTAGTTTCCAAAACACTGGAGGACAATGGAGACCGAAAGGGAGCGGAGGAGGGCCTTGGTGGGAGGGGAGCCAGTTGGAGTAAAGGCTGCCTCCGCGGGAAAATTCAGGACATGTTAGAGGGGTGCCGCTTGGGAGGTGGATTTGTGCAAAATGGGATGTGAGGCTGTTGAAAGTCTAGGCAGAGAGGTGTATGATCAGAGGGGAGCGTGAATAGAGCGAGGCTCAGGGAGATCAATCACGCCGGTCTGTCCAACGCAGGGGGTGGCGGCGCGGAGAGGTGGGGCTCAGGCAGGGAAGCCGCAAGGAGGTCGGTATCTTGAACCAGTGCAGGGCTGACAGGAGACAAAGAACCCCGGCATCTTAGTTCTTAGAGAAATGAGACTTTTTTCTGTTTTGTTCACTGCTGTCCCCCCAAAGCCCGGGTCATAGTTGGCCTCAGTAAATATTTTTGGAATATTAGTTGAACGGATGAATGGGCCAATTCAGACGTGCAGAATTCACTACCTGGGCGCGGTTCTCAGAATACCCACAAGGGGGCACTATCGCGCCAGCTCCCGGAAGGCACGCGAGCCCTCTAGGATTGGCTGGGTTTGTTTTCTTTCTCTTCGCAGCCTGTGATTTTCCTGCCAAACGCCTTCAGCACAGACTTCAACATCCCCAGCCCCGCAGCCTCTCCGCCCCCAGCCTATGACAATGTGGCTTATATGCCCAAGGAGTCGTCCGAGTAGATGGTCACTCTCGGGGTTGGAATCCCATCTTCCCTCTTTCCCCAGGGGGCCCAGCCTCTTCCCACCCCCACCTCGTTAATCTGGGAGCAGGCCCCCCCCCATCCTCACATACTGTGGCACTGAGTGGAGTCCCTGTGGACGTCTGTCCCACATATTTCTCGCAGTGGTTTGTTTCCTAAAAGAGCTAATTGACGTCAGGGGTGTTTGTCTCTCCCCTCCCTGGGCACTGTCACCCATCAGGAAGTGGCCCGTGTGCTGCTCTGCATTTCTCTCTGCTCGTTGGTGGAAACCCTGGCCTCACTGGGAGACGGGTTCGAGGGCTGCTCCGGCCCTCAGGCCTTAGGATGGTCATTAAGCTCAGAGGGCCCAGAATCCTCCAGAAGGGAGTACTGAGTCCAGCTGCAGAAGCCACACAGCTGGCAGTGGCTTGACGTTGGGTCCCTGGGCCCCCAGACCAGCTCTGTCCTTCATAATCTGAGGCCACATCACTGGGCTTCAGTTTTCCCACCTGGAAACTAAAGCACTGAACCAGATGACATTTAAGGCCCTCCCAGCTCCCCTGGGCTGTCTAAAGTCCTGGGTCTAAGTCAGGCATTGCCCCCTACTGCCTCTGGAAATGTTTGGAGCCACTATTGACTCAGCCCTGCCCACCCCTCAGGGTTGGGGATGTTGCAGGGGAGGGCTGAGGCCAGCCCGCTGTACCCTGGACAGCATCCACAGATGCACAGCAGTGGTGTCCCCTCCCTGCGGGAGGCTCAGGACCTCCCTGTGCCTTTCAGTGCTCCCTCCCTCTCCCCCTGGCCTGAGGAGAAGGCCACCTCCGAAGGTACCATAAGCTGGATTGGGTCTCCAGGCCAAGAAGTCACTGCCACCTGGAATTGAGGTCCTGGCAGGTGACTTCTCTTGTCCATACCACAGAGGGAAATAAACTGTGCTTACAATTTGATCTGGTCTCATAGCAGTGACTTTTTTTTTAACCTTGGAGGCTTTAAAGACTTGTCCCATATTTATCAGAAGACTTGGATAACTGTCCCATTGTCACAGCAAACCCTGTGCCATCTCTAGGTGCTGGAATCTGTGTATTGTGATCTGACCCTTGTTCTGTCCCCACCTAAGCTCAGTTAAGCAGGCATTCATGTCCCTACTCAACAGTTGAAGATGCTGAAGCTTGAAGAGGCTAAATCATGTGCCCAAGGCCACCAAGCTAGTAAGAGGCAATGCTGGGATTCAAACCCATCTCCATTTGATGTCAGAGTCCATGCTCTTACCATGTGACTCCTCACAGTCCGAACCCAAGTGCTTTCCACCAACCCCTTCTTCTCCCTCCTCCCATTTCTTCATCCCAAAGATAGACGGGGCTGCATTCCTCAGCACCCTACTTCTTCATCTAACAAACTCCTGCTTCTACCTCAAAACCCTATTTTAATGTTGCCCCTTCCATGAGGTCTTCCCAAAGGAACATAGTCAGCTAACTGGCTAAATGCCATTGAGCCACAGGGCTGGGATGAGTGTGGGGCAAGCGAGGCCCCCTTTAAGGAGGCACTCCCTCCCAGGTTTGTGCACAAAGAGTTGGGGTGGGGGTCACAAAAAGCTTTGGCTTTCAAAATCAAGAAAGGGGACTTGAGTACCTAAAGCTGAGATTTTAAGACCACAAAGCATAGAGTTGGGGGAAATGTGTTTGTGCATTTATGACCAATTTTCCTGCCCCACACAGAGGAGATTAGAGACATTTCTGAACGGAAGGGAGAAGTTTGGAGAGAGAAGCGAGGAAGGGAGAAAAAGGAAGAAGAGCGGGCTTAGCCTCAGGCTGGGATTACCATCATCTGTGCCCTGCTGACTACATCCCTCAGAAATGTGGGAGCCAAAAACCGCAGATCAATTAGGAAGAACTAAAGAGCTAAATGCTTGTTCAAGTTCCAGACTGTAACCTCCAGAGACAACAAAGCCCCTAGAGATGTCCCATGTCCAGACAGCTTGGAGCCAGGATGTGAAGCTGAGATGTCTGAAGTCTGTGCCTGGTGATTTGATCTGGAATCCTACACTCCCACGTGGGTATGAATAAGAGCATCAGAAACTTCTTGCGCCCCAAGAGGAGAGCACGGAGGCTGCGAGAGCTGGTGTGCAGCTTGGGTTGTATGAGGCTGAAGCTCTACAGTGAATAAGAGTGGAGACAGTGGCCATCAGGAGAGACCAGCAAGGGCAAACCACACATCCACAGAGGCCGGCAAGGACAGGTCGTGCTTGTGAGTTGGACGTCATGGGAAGTGACTGAGTTGTCCTTAATTGGAAAAATTACATTTTCTGCCATTGAAGGAAATAGGAGCTAGAGAAATAATTGCCATGAAGAAGCAGAAGTTTGAAAACTACAAAATATTACTAAGAGACGTTGATGAAGATTGAAATAAATGAAGAGATAGACTATGTTCATGGATTGGAAAGCTCAACATTTTGTTCAAATGTCATTTATCGCCAAAAAAATTATCTATAGATTTAATACATCTCATTCAAAATTCCAACAGTTTCATTGGGGAGAAATTGACAAGCTAATTCGAAAATTCATAGGAAAATTAGATCTAAAATATCCAAGAAAACCTTAAAGAAAAACAAAGTTGGATAATGTAAATTACTAGATTTCAAAATTTACTATAAAGCAATAATAACCAAGACAACTGTTTCAGTACACAGACAATTAAATCAGTGAAGGAGAGAGTCCAGACACAGACCTTCATCTACACAGTTCACTTGACTTATGACAGAGACTCCACAGCAACTCAGTGGACAAAATGTGTTCTTTTCAATAAATGCTTAACTGTAGCAATTAGATTTGGTAGGAAAAAAAACTGGATTAGATAGAAAAAAATTGGATTGGATAGAAAAAAATGAACCACAATTTCTACATCACACATACATAAAAATTAATTCAAGATGGATTACAGACCAAAATTTAAAAACTAAAACAGGCTTCTTTTTTTAAAAACAATGGAAAATATCTTCAGTACTTTGTGATAAGCAAAGGTTTCTCAGACTGGACACACACACACATACACAAAGCACTAATCATAATTGAAAAGATTGATAAATTAGAGTTATTAAAATCAAGAACTTCTGTTTATCAAAAAACACCATAAGTATGAAAATGTTCCACAGATTGGGAGAAGATTTTGAAGCATAATATCTGACAGAGGACTTACAAGCAAAATATATAAATAATTCCTAAAAATAAATAAGGAAAAAAGAGACAACTCAACTGAAAATGGGCAAAGAACTTTCACAGGCACCTCACAAAAAAGGATCTCAAAATGACCAGTAAGTGTGTTCAACACCATTAGTCATTGGAAAGATACAAATTTAAACCACAGAGATACCACAACATGCCCAAATGGCTAAAATTAGAAAGACTGAATCCAAGTGTGAATGAGTTTGGGGAGTTCATTTTACATATAGCTGGTGGGAGTATATTTTGATACAACTACTTTGGAAAAAAATGTTTCACAGGCTGTGTTAAAGCATACAGTATAACCCAAAAGTTCTATTCCTGGATGTTCACACAACAGAAATGAGTGACTGTGTCCAGGAAAGACATGTACACAGGTTTGTCATGACAGCTTTACTTATAACAGGCAAAAACCTGAAACATCTCAAATATTCATCAGTAATAGAAAAGCTAAATAAATTGTGGTCTAGTCATTTAAAAATGAATCAATAAAAAAGAACAAAATACTGATACATCTAACACGCAGACAAATCTCTGAGTGGAAGACAGACATACTGTATTCCTTCACTGATACGAATTTCAAGAACAGGAAAAACATAAGCGTGTGGTGACAGAAGTCAGCACAGTGGTTTTGCCCTAGAGAATGGCAGCCCTGACTGAGTGGACCATGAGGCAGCCTCTGGGGCACAGGAAATGCCCTATATCTTGATCAAGGCTATGGTCACTTGGGTGTGCGTCAGACCACCAGGTTGTACATATTTATGCACTTTATGTAATTACCTCCATTTTTTAAAGTAGGGGGGGAAACAGAAAAAGCCACAATGTTCGTTATCTGTTTCTTTGTAACACATTACAACAAAACTTAATGACGCAAAGCCGCACACATCTACTTATCTCAGTTTCTGTGGTCAGGATCCAGGGACAGCTTAGTCCTCTGCTTGGTGTCTCACAAGGCTGCAATCAAGGAGGCAGTCGGGCTGCATTCTCATCTGGAGGTTCGACGGGAATAATTCACTTCCAGGTTCATGTGGGTTGTGATGGCAAAATTCATTCCCTTGCAGCTCGGGAACTGATGGCCCCACTTCTTTCTTTCCCTGAGCCCCCAGAGGCTCCCCTCAGCTCCTTACCACATGGGCCCCAGCATGTGGCTTGTTTATGTCTTCAGAGCCAGCCAGGGAGAGTCTCCAGAGCATGTCTGCTAGCAAGATGAAGTCCTATGTAACAATGTGGTTATAAAAGTGACATCTCATCGCCTTTGCAATAGTCCATAGGTTAGAAACACGTCACAGGCTCACCCACACTGGGGGGGAAGGGTTATTGGGAATATTAGAGTCTGTCCACCACAGTTACACCTTTGCCCATTGAACGTCTGCGAATGTGAAAATGCAATGTATTTCAGTCTCTCTCTCCTCACTAGAGTTTGCTTTCTCACCTGCTATTTACACCACTGACAACACTCTCTCCAAGGCTATTTCCATGACCTCATTGTCGCCAAAATCAATGGGCTTCTTAAAATCCTTACTTTAATAATAACAACTTCATCTATTTCTTAAGTGATGTCTACCCTGGAGTCTCCTCTGTGCACTGACATGGTCCCTGGGTGATCTCATCTGCTGCTCTGGTTTAATTTCATGTTTTATTCAGCAGGTGCCTATTGCCTGTGTGTCCAAGCTCTGAGGAGGCCAGATTTTAGCCAAATTCACGTTAAGCATCTATCACCATCCTGGCAGTTCCCAAATCCCTGTCTTCCACCCAGATCTCTTCTCTGAGCCACCTTCAGTACCTACGTTCACATCCCGCAGAAAAGGAACTTGTATATTCTCTTCCAACTCACACGTTTGTCAATGTCACTACAGACTTGGTTGCTGCCCAAGCCAGAATCTGAGCATCATTCTTGGCTTCCCCTCTGCCTCAGCCCCACGGGTGATCATCCCTCACTGACTCTCCTTGTTCCAGCTTTCTCCTCTCAGCCCACTCTCCCCATCCCTCTTTGCAGCACCACTGGACCACCATCATCTTTCACCTGCATCATGGCATCAGCCTCCTGACCTCCTCACCTCTGTCCCCAGCTCCAAGCTTGCCCAACCCGTATCTGGACTGCATAACAGCCAGAGGGATTTTTCTAAAGTACAGAACAGTGTTATCGCTCTGCCTGAAGTCGCTTGGAGCACTCCTCGCCCTCAGGCTGAAGTCCAGATGCTCTGGCAAGGTTTACAAAGCCGTGGAGACCTAGCCCCCTCCCCTGAACAGCCTCAACTCTCCCACCCTCCTCCTTCACTTGACCCGGCAGCCATCCGGGACCTCTGCCTGGAATGCTGTTCCCACCTGCCCCCGACTATCCTATGTGTCCCACTTAGCTTCCAACCCTCCTTCAGCCCTCAGGGTAGACACTGCTTCCCTAGGAAGCCTTCCTGGCGCATCCTTCTCTGGGCCTTTTGGGGAGGTGGCCTCTGCTGGGCTCTCAGCACACACGGGCAGCCTGGGACCCCTCACTTCCCCTCCAGACAGTCGCCTGTGTCCCTGACCGTCTCCACTGTTGGACCCTCTACCAGTTTCCTGTGGCTGCTGTAATCAGTTACCACAAATTTCGTGGCTTAAAACAACACATTTATTATCTTACGGTTCTGGAGGTCGGAAGCCCTGGAGTGAAGGTGCTGGCAGGGGAGTTCCTTGGGGAGGCTCTACGGGACTAGAATCCCTCTTCTTGCCT